ACTTGAAGATCTCGATGTTACGAGTTTAATATGCGGATAATATTTAGTAATGTAAAATAAAATGATCACTTTTTGATGATTTTCAATGAGTAAATTTTGGACTATGATCTCTGCGGTAGCTTTACTAAAGATGCAAAATTCACTCGCGAACTTCGCAGCAACGCTACGATTTTAGATCGTACTAAAAATACAACTCATGCTCTCAACTCTATAAGCCAGAATGTCGCTTATTCTAAAGGCGCGTTCGAATGATATCGAAACAAGCTTATTTTATTTGACACAGGTCATTTATCATTTAACGTCAAGAGAGCTCTCGCATTGTTAAACTTATCGATTGTAATTCGCACGAATTTAAATTACTCGACATTCAGCGGAGAACGCAGAGAATCGTATTGGCCGTTGTGATACATTGACTTGGAATAGATAACTATATTCGAACGAGAAACGAGTGAATATCAGCTTCAATTTTCGTCAAGTAAGCAATACGCGTATATATTGACCTACAGCCTTTGTTCAAGATGAGATTCACTGATAGTATTTACGTCATCGTGAGCGAGAGCAGATGACAGATTTACAAACACTTTGCATGTGCTTCGATCGCTAGTCTTATCTCTCTTTTCACTCTCTACAAAAGAGGAAATGTATGCCAATGTTTGACTTTTTATGTGCAAATGTGCTCGATCAGAGATATGCTAATAACTGAATTTACGAAAGAGATGTTAAGCAAATACGTTTTAAATTTAAATAGCGACTGCTCAAATTGTGTAAAATATATTTATTATTACAAGTGATAATGTCACATAAATCACAATATCATAAATCATAAAGCTTATTGTATTTGGATTTCTATTAGAAAATGAATGATAACATTTTTGCAGTTTTTAAATCCCTTATAAAACAGGACGTTCTTATTAGGAAACTAATATTCGAAATCTAATTATGTTATGATTTGTAAGTCTGCAAGCAATTTACCATCGTAATTTACTACGTAAAGACATTCTCAATTTTCTGGTTCACATAGAAAGTTCATCTTTTCCTTATCTAAAATAATAAATAAGTCTATCTATAAAATTATAAATAAGATATAAATCCATAAAATAATTTAAACAGAAAGACAGAAAAAGAGAGAATTTTAATAAGGAAGTTAATTTCTTGTTAAAATAAATATACACAATAATAACAATTTGTTTAGTTACAAGCAATTAAAAAGTATTAATTACAATAAAATGAATCTAAAAATATGTTTATCTACATCAAACGTCTAATTTTTATATTAGTTGAATGTTCAAAGTTAAATGTTAAGAAGCTGCAAAAAGCGGAAAAAGATGGCAATCAAATTTTCATCGGAGATCTTCATAATTCATTTCTTCAACAAAGTAAAAAATAATGCTAGAAAACCTTTAATGCGCACACAACGTACAAAAATAGTTGCAAATTATCACATTAGTTTTCAGTTATCGGGACCTTTCTAGTTGTAATTTATTTTTAAGAAGATAATTGACAAGTTTTTATTAGAAAAATGTTAAAACAAATGTTAAAGGAAGGATCAGTTTCAGGTCGCGCGTCACTTTTAAAAACTTCACTGTAAAAAGAAATATGTTTTATTCTTGTCCGCATTTTTTAAACACTTAAAAATGTTTTAGTTTCAAACTTTTTCAATGGACAAAACACTACGTGTTTGGATATAAAAACGCATAGTGTTTAAGTATTTAAAAAAATGGGGAAAAGAATAAAACGTTTTAATATCTTAAAATTAAACGCTTCTTTTTTTAGTGTTCAAGTCAAAGAACGAAATACTTTCGCGAGCACTTTAAATTTGCACTTTTTATTTCCGATTCCCTTTTTCGGAACTCCGCGCAAGAAAGGGCGGAACAAGCGGTGCGTGCCAATACTAGTGCCGGTGGTTACTGATTACGCGTCGACTACACCAACTACAATCTGTACGCAGTGACGCAATGCACTGAGGACGGCGTGCGTAAGTGCGCGCCGAAAAGCACGCGCGTGACGCGCGCACGCGTGTCTGAGTGCGCGAGCATCCTCGGATTATCTTCGCCTTCGACGAAGGGCTGCCTCGTTCTGGCAGGAAGCGGACACTTGTGACGCTGTTATTGCCATTAAAATATTTCGTGACTTAATGCGACAGTCAACTACGCGCGGACATTATACTGTAATAAGATCAACAAATTGCAACTAGTTTTAATGGACAATGCGCAATGTCACGCAAAACTGAAGCAACCTGAGGCTACAGAAATACGTCATCGCGTACACGTGAAAACAAAAAGAAGATGATGGTTCGATAATTTAGAATATCGTACGGAGAAAAATCGATCGTGCTTCAAGACAACTTAATCTGCTCTCTAAAACTTTTTATAATGAATCTCACTCTGAAAAGTGAAATCTTTAAAGATTAAAAATTGAACCACTCTTTTCAAAGACTGGCTCGATTTGCACTCTTTAGAAAGAAGTTCGACTTCAAAGATTGTAAAGAGTAATAATTTTTCGCCATAAAAGATACACTTCGAGAAATACATAAACATTTCATATTAATTTCCGTGATGATCATTTCCAATCATACGGATCTTATTTCGGATTTTTTTTTTTTTAAACAGAAACGAAGAAGTTAATCCTATACTGAAAAAAATCACGTCAAACAGTTACATGACGAAATTATGTAATTAAAACAAGCAAATCACATAACGGATTGTTTCAAATCGGTATGTGATTTTTTAAAATTACGTAATTTGAAAATTGAAATAATGATATATGTTCTTTTTCTTCTATTTCTATTCTTCAATATTCGATAATATCTATAAAATCACAGGATGGATGAAATTATTTCTATTATTATGTGATTTTAAAAAATTGATTTGGGACAATCTGTTACGTGATTTATTTGTCTTAATTACACGATTTTATATAACTTTGTGATATAATTCTTTTCAGTAGAGAAATCACCGCGCTCCGCACGCAACGCAACGTGAAAATTATGTCGCTTGAGTGTTGCGTGTATTTAGGCGCGAAACAGCAATCGAAGATATATCGCAACATCTCGAGAGTAATCGCGCTCGGTTAATCACATTTACGCACTAAAAACGCATTCAAGCCAAGATAAATACCGGTTTTTAATTCATGCATGAGATAAGCCATGACCTACGATCATTAGTGCTTATCGATGATAATGAAGTCTCATGTAAGAAGACGATATGAGTATCGTAATCATTTTCTCTCTCTCTTTCTCTCTCTCTCTCTCTCTCCTTTTTTTTCTCTTTTTCTTTCTCCCTATACGCGAGATAAGATATCAAATTCGAAATTGTAAGCGTTACATAACAACAGCACTCCCAACAGAGCTCAGGGAGACCATTTCGCCAGCGGGCTCGGTTCAGCTGAAGTTATTTCGTTAATCAGTCAACCGGGAATCCCATATCAGGGAACCGGAACTGTCATACATGCTCGCATCGTATTCGCCGAACGTACGAGGACTCACCTTCACCGACATCTTGACCCGGTACACGATCGCGCAACCACTGCACTGTCACCTTAATTATTGATTCACCATTGAGGGTGGAATACGCGCGCCCGCACACGAGTCGGGGGCAGCGATCGCGAAAAGGGCAGGAACCGAAGGGTGGAGGCCAGGACAGAGAGAGGTGACGGAAGGCAGGGGAAAGAAGGCAAGATGGATTTCACTGGGTACTTCCGGCTTCCACCGAAACTACGACATTTTCTGCCGTTTTCGCCAGCGTGGCTGGTAAAATGCGCTGCAATCAGCTTTCGGCAGCCGCCTCTCTCAACAGGAGGATGCCCTTACCACTTTCCGTCGTGCAACCCTGTCACCCACCGCACACCCCACGACCCCGCGAATCCCGTTTATTGATTTCTCGCTCGTCCGGTTCCACCTGCCATCTCTTATCGTCGTTTTGCGACAAGTATCGCCTTATTATCATGACACTGACACACTGTCACATCGTGTTACTCGTAATTGATTCGTTGAAATATCGCGCGAATAATGGACAGCTCTGGCAAATTGGGCGACTGAGTAAGATCGTTCATTTTTCGTGCACATTACGAGTGTTTTTCGGAGGAACAAAAATAATTTGAAAGCTAAAAAAATTGATACTTATTTCCTTGGAAACAAATTTCTAATAATAATTAGAATATTAGATCATTTCCATAATTTTAGAATTTTCAATCTATACTACTTCTTTTTGTAACGTGTATTCATTACTTACTACTTGCCAATATGCGAGCATCTACCACTGAAAAAATGCCGAATGCGGAATAGAAAGAAATTCGCTTTAACGCATCAACATAAAGAAATATTAAAAAGTTCAACAATGTTCAACAATCTAAAAGCATCTCTTTCTTTGAAACATTAGTAACTTTATAATTTCATCATATAAATTCATAAGAAAATATTATTGATTTATTTTATTATTATTCCGCAAAAAATGTTACTAATCACTTGTAATGTCTTACGTTAAAAATTAATTTCTATTTGAATAGTAAATTTGAGAATTTCGATCGGTTAATCTTTAAAATGCTTTAAAAGTAGCGATGCCCATCTTAATTTTAATTACTTAGAAACATCTTTTAATTAAATTTATTTCACATAGTACACTACAGTTTCAAAGGAATTCACACTTTTAACATTACAAAGATTATCTTGGTTGTATGTGAATAAATATTTGGTATCTTTATTTTGGATAGACATTCTTTCACATTAGATACGGTATCTTACAGTGTCACTGATACCGCGCGAATACATGATTGCACATTACGGTGAGAAGATCATTCAGAGACTAGAACTTATTAAAGCTATATGATATAACGCGCAGGCTACGCACGCACACAAAATATAGTGATTTCTGACTAGATATAATATATATTATATAGATGTATAATATGATATATAATATATATGATACAAGCTTATTATATTATATAATCACATGGACTCTCGTTAAACAGCCCATTTATCAGTTAGAATCGATTACAAAAAATAAGTGTGTACATATATCTCTTTTATTTTGCTTTGCTTTTTAAGGTAAGACCTCCTTGGCTGCGAGATCGCGCCTCGCTTATCCAATTACTTGCTTATCTAACGGACTTGTCGCTATTGGCACATATTGCGTTTTCTTGGACCGCTATTATGCTCAAGAATCGAAGGACTGACGACGTATCTTAAAATTTAATACACATAGCATGTGTGTATATTACATTTAAAAAATAATAGCGAGACGTATAGCGTGTATATAAATTGAACTGCTTTAAATTCTTTTAGTGTCAATTTATCTAAAAGATATGATTCGCAAGGATTGCAATTAATGTTAATATTGATATACGAGTAAATCAAGATTAGTCACAATTCGAGGACGCATCTTTCTTCTTATAAAATATATATAAATATAAAGAGATTTTGAAGTAAAAATATTATCTATTATACGTGAGGAAATTAACGTATTACATGCGCAAAAATATTTGTTTGTAATTCAATTCAGTTGAACGATGAATTATATTTATTTTCACATATATTCCCTTACGTTCATTTTTCTAATGTTAACTGAACGACCTTCGCTTCGTTAACTTCTTATTTTTTTACGCGACCGTATCTTTATTATGATAGTATTGCTGTTTCAATCATAAACTCTTGAATTTTTTATAATAAATTAGAATTTTCTTTGGATCACTGTATCTTAATGTCGAGTATGTGTGCAACGTGTAGTAATTTGCGCATTATTTAATATAGAGATAATATTACTGTGCATATATATATATATATAATAGAGGCTTAAATATTATATATAGAGAAGAATGGCTTGACGGAAATATGCTGCACGAAGGACGACACTTCGGCATTGTCAAGTTCAATGTATCAATATTATTGTTAGAAAAAATACGTCAAAATTTATTTGATATTTCAAATAAATCTTATTTATTACGAATTGTATTGAAGACCTTAGTCACTTCCGTGGTCTTTCATAAATAATTCATAAATTCGTTTTTCAAGTTCATAAAAAAAGATGTGCGATTTATCATTACCATATAAAGTAATGATTGATATCTTTTTTGTGCGTAGGTGGTTTAAATTGGGCCGCGCTTTTGAAACATCATTTTCACTGTTTCGATCTTAATCTTATTACGTTAAGTGTAGTGCAGAAATAAAAAAAATTAATATCTGACACACGACGTTCAAAAAGATCTTTCCATGGCAGTATATATCGTAGGTATCAGAAATAATAAGACATTTCGCCGCCGTATGTAGATGAAACTATCGCCTATCACACTTAGAGATAATATTTAGCATCTCAATAGATAATCAAAATAGTTCAGCTTCGGAATTGCAACAAATATATTGTGAAAGTGCGAATTAATTCTAACGTCTAATATTAGATTTGCTAATTCTGTGTGACATAATAATGGACGATATATATATATACACACACACACACACACACATATCTTTCACGAGATTCAATCATCAAAATTGATAATTAAAGAAATAGTGAAATATTGTAAACCAATACTATGGAATTGGTAAATACGAAACACTCACCGTTGCGTAAAATATTCCATACATACGTGTTAATAAAAATGATACCACATTATTTCTGATAAAATAGAATCGTTATTTCTTCGCGACAGTCGGAAACTCTATTAAAGATTATTCTGATAACGTATCTTGATAACACACGAACGATTAAGAGTGCGATCGAGTTGCCACTACAAATGCTTCAAAACATTTGATTAACCAATCGGAAGAAAAAATTGTACTAATTGACCAATCAAAAAATGCTTCGAAGCATTCGTAACGGCAACTCGACCGCATCCTAAGTTTGTATTGTTATACAAGTTATGCGCAAATAGTAGAGACATACAAGAATAAACATCGCGTAATACGCGCAATAAGAATTTCAATTTACGTTCAGTCTAATGACTTTGATCTGTCTAATTTGTGTTTACTTTCAAGATCAAAGTTTATATTCCGATTCATTGCACGAAAACCGTGGGCCTCCTCGACATTTTCGCTTGGAGGCAATTGCACATTTTCAAAAATAAAGGATTCTAATATCACATTGTTGGATGGATTTGATTGAGAAGAATTCGCATCTCGTTCCAGAAAATTCGCGTCCTCCGATGCTGCTATCTGAGCAGAATTAAAAGTGCTCCGTTGGGAAGCGTTCGACGAATCTCTGGGGAGAACATTTTGGAAGCCATCGCCTTGGTAAATGATACCGGTGTGTTTACGCGGTAATCGCAAGGAACCGCCATAATTCGTACGTCCTCTCGGAAAGTTTCTCTGTATCACAGGAACTACGTTAAACGTACGCTTCAATTCATTCTCGCTTCTGCTCTCCTTAGGCGAGAGAGTGTGCGTATCTGTAGTCGTCACGCATCTCTTCTGAGACGTTCGAGTTTCATCCTGCATGGTAATCTTACCGTGGACTCGTACAGATTGATCATTTTCATGCCAAGGATTACATTCTCCATAGCTGCTGGTCGCAGAGTCAATATTGAGCATCGCATGTTCGGTACTCGGAATCTCATAGCCGCGAGTCACGTTTTCCGCATCCGACACATTGGGCAATCTATCTGTTGGATATCCTGGTAACCGATGCGGGCTGTTCTGATAATTACAACTGAAATTACTTCCCCCGGATGCGATTGGTTCTTCTGGATATTCCAAAGGAACGCACATATTTTGACCAACCGCTCCGTTCGTGGTGCAATATTGGGAAAAATGCGCGAACGGAACACTCTCGTGACTATCAAGTTGATGAGCATTCGTGGTATCACTTTGACATTGACTCGAATTACCGTCCACCAATCTCGCCGGAGAATTGCAGCTATAGAAAAAACACTGTGGTACACTCGGATTTGGTATTACATTCGCCGTTTGTAGATTCAATCGGGCGGCAGACGACTCTGGCGATGCCGGATTTGAGATTTTGCCACGCGTTTGCGCTATCACTGTCTCGTAACTAGGCGGAGGACCGTATAATTGATAATAAGGGCAATTGGCATCGTTTAATACAACGTTCATATTCTGATAGTGTGTCGATGTGGTCGCGTTACCGTTATATGCTGGCGCCGCTGTATTTCTCTGAGGACCTGTTCAAGGAAATTTACATAAATAAAGTTTTCACATTTTTCACACAAAGTAAATCTTTTTACAAAGTAAATCTATTAGAAAAGAATACGAACCTTTCCACATGCGATGTAATAGGACGGTATTTCTCGCTGAATTGTATGTGATACGAGCTTGCTGCGCTTGGCAAGATGCGTTACGAAGAGAACTTTGCGATCTAGTGGTAGAAGAACGAGTTGGAATAGCCGAAGCTGCTGCTCTGTATCTGCCTTGCAACCAGTATCGGTACCACCAACCACCACCAGAACAGACCAAGAACATGATTATAACTAGGATCCTGAAAAATTAATTGTACATATTTTTTACTGCTGTTCTGCTTAATGGAAAAGCTGCATATTACACAACATATTGTGATTATTATTAAAATTCAAAAAAAATCATTATTATTCAGTCAACACCTATAAAAGTAACATTAATGTTACAATTTCGCATTCAATAATATACCTATTATTTAACACCATGTATTGTGTTACATTTATTTTTGAATGCAAAATTATAATATTGAAATTATAACATTGTTACGTTACTTTTAATTGACGTCAACTGGATGACTTACCAGTAATACCACAAGTGATGGAAATGAAATCCAGGTGACACACAACAACCAAAAGCACAACAATATTCTGTTCTTGAACATCTGCAAACGTTATAATCAATGTAAAATTAATTTTTCATACGGAATATAATAAACAAAATACAATAAACAATTCTTTAAACATAAGTATATTTTACAGTTGATAAATCAAATGCAATCTAATAAAAACTAGTTAATATATAATTAAAAGAAGCAACATACTCATAGTATTTTATTTCTCCAGGCATATCAGAGGCACAGTACTTTGCTTCTGCCTAAAAAGGATTGCGATGTTATAAATATTCGTAAAAATAAACAATTTTGTAATCAAACATTTAACAAAATTTAATTAATTTTATTAATATTGTAACAAAATCTCGTGATAACTTTTTATACTTGGGACTTTATAGGATGCTCCATTGTTTGATTCTATCCAGAGATCATGAATTCAAGTGCAATTAGGTAAAGCTGCAAAATTACAGAAATATTTCTATAATGCGGCAATTTCTGCGTTCGCGAATGTGCAATTTTTCGAGTAAAAAAGAAACTGAGAGAAATGAGCGTCATTTACTCATGAAGGACGAGGCAACTCACATAAATGAGACACTTCGATGTACCCACGAATATCGCGAGTTTCTTCTTGCTGTTGCGAGCCATCTCATCAATGAATACCCTCGCCGTCGTTTCGAGTCAAACGCAATCGGATCTAGCGCGATGTTTTGACATAATCGCCATTTCCCACCGTCCGTGATGTACACACAACATTGCACATTGCACTTATTGATTTCAATTTCGGAACTCAACAATGACGTCAGCTCGCCCATCAGTGCTACCACCATGATAGAAATGAACGATAGGCGACGATGACGCATTCGATGCGTCAATGGGCATCCAATGCCACGCTCGCTAAGAAACTCATCAATCAAACAAGTTTGATTGATTCTTATCTTGGGATTCAATTACAATTTAATTACCACTTAGCCGCTCAATGAATGATTATGCTATAACTAAATAAGTCTGAATGCAATATTATAAATTTGTCATGACATCGAATTGTCATGACATCAAGGACTCTTTTAAGTCACGCTAATTTATTAGATCATAAATTTTCGGAAAAGACGGAGCTAAATATTTGATTTGCTTTCCTTATAATTCAGATATCTTTTTAATGTAAAATTATTTCCTTTATTTTTATAAAGAAACCATAATAAATAGGCATATTATTCTGTTAGTAATTGGACGAATAAGTTTGATTTTCGAATAGAGAAATTCTGGGTTCCTCAGTTTGATAGTTTAAAAATTAGATATTATACCAAAAGATATCTACATGCTCTATTTACTTCTAAAAAAAAGTTTACCTGAGACAAGTAAATGGATTAGAAATAGATGATATAAAATCAAATAATGATTGATAAAAAATAAACTTGTACATATATATAAACTCATGCTTTTTATTTCCTTATTTCTAATATCTTATAATTGTACAATCTTATAATTCGTTTTCCTTTTTCAATACTTTTACACCTTTTTCAATACTTTTACATGTGCTGTTCTATTCAAGCAAACAGATGCAGCACATAAAGGCATAATGATTACAATAACATTCTTCTTGCTTTGACTCTCCTTCTATTTAAACAATATAATCGTAAAAACAGCCAAATAAAAATGCAGAATGAAATAATAAATTTTTAATCAATCTGCAATTAATCTTATCTTCCAAAATTTTACTCGATTCTTTTTCAGATCACAGTCTTATTACAAAGGCATATCAATATATCTTTTTTTTCATTGATTCAATTGCTTTTTATTTTACGATTCTTCGATCCTAATTATCTCAAATATAAGCATTTACAAATAGACAAAATTTAAACACCGTATTTCGTCTACACAAAGATACAAAAAGCATAGTATTTTAAATAACACTATGTTCTTTTTAGTAGACAGATATTAAGCTAAAATCGAAGCATAAAGTCTTCGATATGTGGAAGTGAAGGAAATATGATATTAATGCTCTAAATCAAATTTTTACAGCATATAAAATTGAAGCAGATGCTATACAAGTTTATACATAATACATTAGATTCGTAAATTCATTATGCTTATTAAAGCAAGCATTTGACAATATTTTTTTCTTTTTATGTATCGCAAAGTATTTGTCTGTGTACATACATTTATATATATTTTGTCTTGATTCAAATTTTTCACGGGAAATGTATTTGCGGTTTACCTACCGAATGGATTTAAATTTCTGTTGTAATCATCATCGTTGCCAGCCCGATCATTATCATTATCATCATCGTCTTTAAAAGGATTATTCGCGTCGTCATCGTCATCATCGTTAGCAAAAGGATTTTTAGATTCATCATAATCGTCAGTTTCAAAGGGATTTGATGGCACAATAGGGGTTTTCGAAACAAAGGACTTGTCGATTGGCGATGACTTTGGTGTAGTACTGTTTAAGATGCGGGCTTCTCTAATCGGCACCGGCGAAGCTTTAGCAGAGTTACCGCGTGGCGTCGATAAACCACTTCCCGTTCCTGATATATTCGCCTCCAACGATGAAGAATACATATCTGGCTTGACAAAATTACGGAAACGCTCTTCTGTTATTAATGTAGGAACGTCATATCCAGCTCGTCGAGGCTCTATTTTTCCTGTTAGAAAAATGCGAAAACATATTGATTAGTTATTTGAAGATTATAAGTAAAAAGGATATATGAAAGATGACTTGTAACTCATCGGTAATAAAATAAATGCATACATATAAGTGTGATATTAAAGTATACCTGAGATAGAACTCTTTCCTTCATTTAATCTGAGTCTCGCTTCTGCACCTGGACCATAATTTAACTTAGGTTCCTCCAATTTGGTCGGTGTAGGTAATGATTTGTCTGTATCAGTGATTACTGTTAATTTTTTAAAAACGCCTCTACCAAAATAATCAGCTACTAAGGAAAATGGATCTTCTGCTCGATCGAGAAGACTGTGGAAAGTTTCATGTAAATCTCTTGATTGTTCTTGCGCTCTTATAATATCCAGTAGTTTCTTGTTATTTGGCAAGCAGGCCGGGCATTCGTTTTCATTTTCCGAAAAGCTTTGAAAACAACTATCCAGAAAAAGGTATAAAATGAAATAAATTATATGATAGTAAATTCATATACCATAATACAAATAAGAATAGTATTAAAAAAAACTGAACCCACTGTTGATGATAAGAATGTTGACACATGAAATGCACAGATGGCAATTCCAATTGATGATGACACGCGCTACATCGTGATCCTTGAAAAATTATTGTATTATTCTTTATTGCTTCTATTTGTTCCCGCAATTTAAGAGTATCAGCTCTATATTTCTCTGTTAATTCCGTATCAGCTTGAGTTTGCTCATTTTCCGTTCGCAATACACTGCACAAATAACTTCTAACGTCTCCCAGTGTGCAGGTTAATGATGTAGAAATTGCGTCAATGACCATTAAAGGAGATAATAGTCTTTCTTGAGCTGTAATGATATTTTTATATATACAATAACAAAACAATATTTTCCAATGTATTTGATTGAATTCAATTGATATTCTACAAATATATGTACCGATATAAGCTAATATATCCGCGAGAAGTTTTGTTGGTGCATCCTTGTTTTTAGCCACACTCCATAAAGCTTGTACCCATAGATTAGGATCCTGGTGACCGAATCTTTTGCAGGTAGCGAGGACTTGTTCGCTATCTCCCTCGCATAAATGAAATCTTAATATTTCTTGATATCTAAAGATAATAGATAGAAAAAGATAATAGATAAAAAAAATGTATTTATAAATATTTATATGTTATATAATTATTTATACAATCACATCTTACAGCTTGCTTTCTTCGTAAAGGAAAAGTAATCCTTTTCTGAAATTATGTTGATGACAAAGTATTAATATTTGGTCTTTATCATAACGGGCCTCAGAATTCTGCAGAAGTCGTACAACTTTCTGTTCATATTGTAATTTAGCTACATCGTTATCTAATGCCGACCAAACATGTAAATAATGTTCCACTAAGGTGTTGTAAATAAGTGTACTCCATCTATGAAAAATATGAAAAAGATAAAGAATTAATTTCAAAAAAATATATGCATTCTTTTTATCGTGAAGAATAATAACCTTGTATCTGATTTAACTAAATGCTCTAAGAATTCTACAAGTCGTTCAGAATTATTTAGAAATAAATGAATAAAATCTTCTGGACTAGCTTTATCAACACGCTGTTCTGTATAACCATTCAAAGCTTCCTATAACAATAAAAGAATTCATAAATTTCCATCCTTTAGATTTTTCTCAGATAATAACTTAGTCTAAACGTATAAAATTTAAATATATATATATTTATACCTGATCTACAAGAGGTTTGTTGGATGGTTTATAATTTGTGCATAAGGCTTTCAAAAATTGTGTGGATTCATTTGGCACATTTTCTATTAAGATATTTCCATATTTCTTCATATTAGCTTCCGCCTGAATAATTTTTAAACCATTTCTTTAATATAAATATTTATCATTTTTTGTAGAAATTTATGTGTAAATACGTCGTACCTCTTCGAATTCTAAAGTTGCCATGTATTCTAAAGCCTTTTTATATTCTTGTTTGTCTTCGATTTGAATACGAAGATACCATTCGTGTTTACCGTGTTTTTGTGCAAGTAGGAGGGCATCCTCCGGTGATGCTTGTCGGCAAACTTTTATCGCTATTTCCACATCAAAATCAACTTCACGATCTTTAGTCTAAATTTATAAGGCAATGTAATAAAAAAATAAATAAATATATATATATATTGCAGAGCGCTAGTATGTATATTATACAGATATATTAACAAATATTTAGTTTTGCATGTAATATAACTTACCATAATAAATTCTTTTAACTTATCGGTATGATTAAGCTTAGTGTAACAATTTAATAACAATGTAGTATGATCCTCTGTTGCTTGTCCGTTTTTATGCAGTGCTTGCAAATACGTCGTCAAATTATCGATATGTTGAGAATCCAAAAATTTTCTTATCACGTAAGATGGTTCCAGTTTGCCTATAGTCTTTATATATTGCTCTATAGCGCCATTATGATCCCCTTTGGAATATAAGTGATCTCCATATTGACGGAAAATGTCTATGAGACCTTCTGCATCATATTGCTGATTTTTAGCTATTCTATGATAGCATAAAGTTATATTATTAAAATTGTTGTAATGCTTTAATGTAATTACAATTAAATTAATATATCTGACATACCTTATAGAAACATCATACAAATTCTTTTTAAAAAGCAACGCTAATTTAGATTGTAAATCTTTTTCATCTAAATGATACAATTTATTATCTCCACTAAGTATAAAAAATCCACCCCACTCGGACAAGACTGCTTGGACAGACACCATCGGCGCAGAGAACACGATAAACTTGTTTTGAATATCAAGCACAGTAATAATATGCTTATCGACACCAGGAGGTATCGGTTCTATCGTGCTACGGAAATTTCAGATATGCTTTATAACATAAATATAAAACAATTACAAGAGAAAATACACGCATGTATTCATTACTTGGGTTTGGCAGATATAGTTGTTGTCGTTCTTGGAACATTCGCAGCTTCTTTCGCCACTATCACCAAATAAGTCCTAAACCATTCTAGCATTATCTTTTGACCCTCCACTGCATAACACGGACCTCTACCATCTGGGGTGTAACAATAAATAGCCTGAAAATTTTGTTCTTTTGAAAAATGGATGCAAAATGTAATGTAA